GGCCAAGGGCTTCGTGTGCGAGCTGTGCAGGGAGGGCGACGTGCTGTTCCCCTTCGACAGCCACACCTCGGTGTGCACGGACTGCTCCGCCGTCTTCCACAGGTCGGTGCGCCGCGGGGCGGGGCCGCGCATGAGCCCAGGGTGACGCCGCTGCCTGAGCGCAGAAGCCCTCTGCGCATGCTCGCTCCAGCGGGTGGGGGAGGGCGCCTGCAGGCGCCTGCACCCCCAGGCCGGCCACGTGTGCTCTCCAAGCACTCCCAGGCCCGGGGCCACTTTCATTTCAGCACGGGGGCTGACCTTAGGGCGCGCCAAAGAGCCCGTGGCTCTGGCAGAGCCGTGCACGCGGCAGCCTTCGCCAGCCCGCTCGGCAGGCTGTGTCCGGCGACCCCCTCGCCTCCCCTTGCCCCGGCGGGGTGGTCGCGGCCACCCGCTGGGCGGCAGAAAGGGCTGCGAGCCCGCCACGCCACAGTTGTGGCTGGACAGATGCTGGATACCGAGGTGCCCTTCTAGACTGTGACGTGGACCGCCTGTGGGGGGCAGCGCGAGCGGGGGCTGCCCTGCCCGGGCCGGGCAGGCACCCTGGGGCGCCCACCTCACTGTCGCGTCCCCCCAGGGACTGCTACTACGACAACTCCACCTCGTGCCCCAAGTGCGCCCGGCTGACGCTGCGCAAGCGGTCCCTGTTCCAGGAGACGCGGCCAGACCTGGACGCCTAGACCCCGGGGCCGTGGCCACGGCCAGGCTCTTCTCCCTCGGGCGGCTCGGGCCTCTCCGGGCTGCGGGGCCCAGCGGCGACGCCAGGCCTGAGGAACGCTGCGGCTGCTGCTCTGGGCACCCACTGTGGGGGCGGCACCCGCCCCCAAGGCTGCTCTGGCCGGGCGGTGGGGGTGGGAGTCCCTCGGGCTCGTCTCTCCAGGCCTTCGGCTGCCCTGCCGTCCCCGTGGCATCCCCAGCTTCCCTGGTTTGTCCAGACCGCGTGCCAGGGAGGGGCCGGCAGCTCTTCCCCGTGGACAGGCTCCCACCCGCTCACCCTGGTGCTCCGAGCTGCAGGCGGGCCCAGCCCCAGGTGCGGGCAGCCGCGTCTCCCCAGCCGATCTGACACTCAGGGGCCTTCTCTGGGGACAGGAGGCCAAGAGCTGCTAATATTTGCTCACAGGAGGCCCGGTTGGCCCCAGGTGGAGGTGGGTGGTCACACTCCGCATCCGCAACGGGGGGCCTGGGGGGGAGCTGGGACCTTGGGGGACACGCCCCCTCTCCTGATGAGCAGAGGGGGAGGGCAGCAGCGCAGTGGCCGACCTGCGGGGCAGCCTGAGCATCCTCTTGCCCAGAACCAGGCGCAGGTGGGCGGTGGACGCCAGCCCCGAGCGTGTCCAGGCCGCAGAGGCCCTGCCCCACCCCCTTCCCCAGGCGTGAAGGGGTCCTCGGCCTCGTAGCAGACTGCTTGGCCCTGCCCGTCGCCTCTGCCGTGGGGTCCTGTCCAGTCTCGCCACCCAACCCCACGGGAGCCACTGTACTCGGGAACTTCCTCTTGCCACGCCCTGTCCCCACCACTGTTCTCTTCCCCTTACACAGACTCATGTGGGCCTGAGCCCGCACAGGGCAGTGGCCAGAGGCCCCGCTGGGCCTGCAGCCCACGCCCGCTGTGACTGCACCGCTGCCCCCATTAAACCCAAGCTCCAGGTGCGTGTGTGTGAATTCGGCACCAGGCTGGTCGCCACTGCAGGGGCAGGCTCAGGCCTGGGAAGTCGCGGCTTCTCCCTGTGGCCGGTGGCAGAGCGCCCCGGGGCGGGCAGCGCCTCAACGGCAGACACCTGGGGGCCCAGGCAGAGTGGAGCCTGCCTCGCAGACAACTGTCTGTGAGCTGTCCTGGGGCCCTGACCCCGCAGGCCACCGGGCCCTGCTGTGAGGTGTTGGGCCGCAGGCCCCGACCCTCCCAGGTTGCCTCGAGCTGTGTGGGGCTCTGCAGATACGACCTGTAGTCTGGCTGGATCTGGAAGGGACTGTGACTCAGATGTCACTGGTGTCCAGGTGTTCGCCAGGGCTTGGCCAGAGGGCAGTGGGCAGTAGGCCGGTCCAGCCAGGGGAGAAGCCCCCCAAGGGCTGAAGCTGAAGTTGCCTCCGCTCAGCCCGTCCAGTCAGGAAGCGCCTGGGCGCTCTTTGATAAACTTAGAATTAAGAGTGGCCGCAGGCCACCCCCACCCCCTGTCCACCTCCTGGGCCCCAGATGCCGACGTCTCCCCGCTGGCTTCTTGCTCTGCCCGCTTCCCCGAACCGCCTGAATGTGAGTTGCAGAGATGGTGCCTCTGCCCTGCTGTGCCTGTCCCTGCGTCCAAGCCAGGGCGCCGCCTCCCGGCAGAGGGCAGCAAGGGCCCGAGACGCCGCCACTGAACAGCCTCGCCCGCTGGGCCTGAGGCCGCGTCCGGCGGCGGTTCTGGGCCCCACAGGGCACATTGTCCTCGCTGTCCCGGAGGCAGGCTGGGGCTTCCTGCTATGAAATCACACAGCTTGTGGCTCCGGGGTTTCTTGTGGAAGAAGCTCTGAGACCGCAGCGCAGCTGCGGGGTCTCACTGGAGGGCCGGCGACTCTCCCCTCCCGACATTCCGTCCGCATTGGGCGGGCGTCTGTTGACGGGATTTCCCTTCTCCACATTCACGGCCTGTTACTGCGCCACCACCCCATCCTGCAGCTCGTTATTGTGCTGCTCAAGTCACCCCAAATGTGCTCAGTGTTCCAGCCACTCGCTGCCACAGCGAGGCCGCCCAGGCTTTCCTGCGCCTGCAGCCCTGCCTGAAACCAGCCACTTCTCCGGGTGCTAGTGCCACTTAGTGGACAGTGGTATTTGCTGGACAGGATGCAGCCTGTCAATGCGCAGCGCTAGAAAAGGTGCCCTCTGTCCCTCTGTGGCTGCCCAGAGGCTTAAAACCCGGTGTTCCGGGCTCCAGCCTGCCCAGGCCCATGCCACCCCTTGCTCAACTTCTCGTCTTTCCTTCGCAGTCAGTAACCTGCACCGGTTCACCATAAAGTCATCTGCTCAACCCTGGGTTAGTCCTAATCCATATTTCTGCTTCTTTTATTAACAAGCTTCCAAAGTCTGAATTTTACAAAAGGTAAAGAGTCAACTGAGCATCACCCCTCCCTGCCATTAGTTCCCGTTGTCTCCTTCCTGTTTCTTCTTTCACACGTAAGATACGTGCATATTTTACTTCCTCTTTTCTCTCACAAGCGGCAGCAGCTAGGCTCTTGCATGTAGGCTCTTTCCCGGTCACCGTGTGTGGTGCAAAGTGCTCATCAGTGGGCACAGCCCGCCTCGCCCTCTGCTCCAGGCCACCGCTGGGTCTACCGTGTGCTGCATTCTGCGCCCGCACCAGCCCAGAGGCTTTGTGATAAGGGGCTGCAGTCGGTCATCGGCGTGTATACTGTCTTGGAGGCGTAGCTTCTGAGGCAGCTGATGAAGTGAGGGACCTATTCATCATCGGAGGGCCACGGTCGCCCTCCTGGCGGGCTGACACGCAGCCTCACGGAGCCCTCGCTGCGGTCAGACGCCGTGTCCTGGCCCACCTGCCTCCTTGCTGATCCGGGCAGCGGCGCAGGAGCACACGCTTTCATTGGCATCTCTATGGGCAAGGTTGAACTTTTCATGTTTTGTTTGTTTTTTTAACTTTTCATGTTTTAAGGTCTGCCTTATTTATAAATTATTTCTTTTGCGCAACTTCCTACTGCATTTTGGTACTTTTCTTCCACATTCTTAAAAGAACTTCTCAGGCCCGTGAGCCTATTATCTGTGAGATGTGGTGCAACTGCCCCCCCACTGCCTCTTGGCAACTGCCTTTGACCTTACTTGGAATGCTCGTTCTCCCTAAAGAGATCTGCGTTTCTCTTGGCCTGACTAATTTTTCACCCAGGTTTTGAGAGGTCACAAACACCAGAAAACGGCCTCAGACAGCTGCCGTGAGCTGTACAATTCCCTGGAGCAGTTTACTGCATCAGGATTGCTCTGGAAATGCTTCGTTTCCACCCCCGTCTGGGCTATCAGCAAGCACCTGCAAGCGGCCTCCAAGGGCACGAAGGCTGCTGAGCACGCGCCTGCGGTTGGCTGGCGCAGGGCTGGGGGCGTCCTCGCTCTCCTCCTCTGTGGCTGGCTCCTGCTCCAGCCGCATCAGCTCTGCATTTGAGTTGGGCCTCGTGGGACTGCGGCAGACGGTCCACATCAGCTTCCACCAGCTGTTCCAGAGTCACCTTCCCAGCCAGAACCAAAATGTCCTGTTGAAGTTGTGCGATGTTATCTGTCGAGGACACACCGCGGACCTGGACGCATTCAGGCCAAGCACCGTTCTCTGTCCCTGGCCTGAGCGCCTCCCAAGCCACGGCATCCATGATGCTGTGATTCCTCCAAAACTCCCTGATCACAGCTGGGTGCTCCCATCTGTTGCTTCCACGATGTGCTCGAAAGTTCTTCGCCGGTAATGAGCTCTGAAGACAGGTGAAACCTTGAGTCATGAGCTGGATGGAGTCGGCAGTGTCCCATGGAGTTACTCCACCCTTACGTTATCAGACAGGTCGCCGGTTCACGGGGTGGCACGGTGCACTGTCTAGGATGAGCAAAGCTTTGTTGGCGAGACGATTCTGGGCACAGTATTTTTCAACAGCAGGACAAAAAAAGTATGCGACCCACTCGTGAAAGATGCTCTTGGTACCCAAGCCTTTCTGTTTGAGCGTCAAATCACAGGCAAGTTGGCCTGGAGTAGCCCCACAGAGCCGTGGGGTTCTCGGTGCGACACACCAGTAAGGGCTTCACCATAAAGTCCCCAGCAGGACTGCCACCAAGCAGCAGCATCAAGCGGTCTTTGGGTGATGGCCAGCCGGGCTCGACTTTCTCCTCTGCAGAGTCAAATGTCCCTTCAGGCGTTCTCTTCCAACAGAGAATGTCTCCACTACAGTGAAAACCTGCTGGGGGGGGACGGTGCACCCGCCTTCCTCCACAATGCGCTGCGCCTCAGCACATCCGTGTCGGTGCTCGTGTTGCCGGCCGAGCTGCTCATCCCGAAGGGGGGCAAACCGGCGCTCCTTGCACCTCACAAACCACCCTTTACTCGCACTGAACCTTTCTGCTTGAGAGCTTTCGCCCTGCTCACTGTCAGCCGTCAAACTCCTGGCCTTCTCCTGAACAGCGGTGACGCTCACGGGCACGGTTCGCCGGCTCTGGTCTCCGGCCACCCGTGCGACAACCGCTCCACACTCTCCATGCCGCACTTCGATGGCGAGTGGGCCGGGAGGCTCCCGACGGGGCAGCTGCCGGCGAGCTCGCCTTGACCTTTACTCCGTGATCTCGGGTTGCCGCCGCGTGCTCTGGCTGAGCTGCTCGCCCACGTCAATGCGCCGCAGCACTTCGGGTTTGAGGTCGAGGGCGACCGCTTTCCGTTCTCTCTCGGCGCTCCGGGGCGCCGTCGCGTCCGGGCCTTTCCCCCCGCATCTTTGCCTGCGCAGTGTCCGACGCCAGCGCAGTCTCGGGGCGCAGCCCGGGGGCCCGTGGGACGGCGAAGAGACGCGGCGCGGTGGCCTCGGCCTCGCCAGCCCGCTCCCGGGCGCAGGCGGCTGGCTCTGGAGCCTCCGCACCCCGGGCGCAGAGACAGTTCTCCCCGGGGGACCCCCGCCGGGCCCCAGGCCGCCGGTCGCGGGACGATGACGCACAGCAGTGGCGACCGGAACGGCGTGAGGCCAAAGCCACGGAGGGCCGCAGAGGCGACCCTGGAGATGCCCGACTTAAAATAAACCGAAAGGAGCTCCGCGTCACCTCTGAGCACCTGGCCCGAGTCGGTGGCTGCGGCTCCTGCGCCA